ATTTTCCTCCTCCTGTGTATTGAAGCCAGGTGTGGAGATTTCACGAGTCTCTCAGAACCATCTCCCCATATCTCCTAGTTAAAAGCCCTTTTTATCAGTTGTGCCAGCCTTGATCCCAGAAGGTTAATACCCCAGGTACTCAAGAGGAGTACTTCTGTGAATGCCTCCCAATAGTAAATAATCCCAAAGCCTTCCTCATAGCACCAATCCTTGAGAGCATCTGTTGATCTTCAACAGTTTGTCACACCTTTGCCTCCTTCTCTAGAGACTGGAAGTATTCTGCTGAAGACTGCCTGAGCTTCCACTTACCTTGCCTATGGCAGTCATCCTTGATCCATTCCAGTAGGAATTTAGCAGCATTATTCATCTTGACATGGAGCACGATCAGTGGATTTTCCCCCACTCCCATCAGGATCCTTTCCAGCATCATTTCAACATCTCACATCGTTGGTCCTGGCAGAACACCCTTCTGTTCTCTGGATCTGGTCTGGTGACAAGCCTGTCAATTCTTCCTAGTGTGGAGTCTGAATCACACAGACTGGTCTCTTGCTGTTGTTGGTGTGAATCTGTTTTATGTTCTTTTTCACAGTCCCCTGTGTATCATCCTCATTTTCCTTTGGGCTCTAGTCCTGGCTATCTTCATTGTCTCTTCCTCTCTTCTGCAACGACTGGCTTCCCTTCTTTTCTTCCTCACCACTCCATCTTCTGCCTCTTTCTTCTCCTCATTTCCCAATGCCACAAACCTGTTACTCATCTCAATTTTACCACCACAAGACAATCTCTTCTCCTCTGCCATGTCCTCATGGTCACATTCTTCCATGGATCACCCTCCCCTTCTGGCAATCTGCTCTCCAGGTCCTTTTGTTTGCAAGCCTTGAGTTGCCTATACCACCTTCTCTCTCCTCTCTTGCATTACACCTGCAAATCTCTGTCTGAATTCCACTATCTGCTGCATCTCTAACACGCTGGTCTTCTTGCCCACAAGTTCTATCAGGTGACATTTCATGCGTAAGTAGCTTCCATCAGATACCCATTAAAGGATGATGTACATTCTGCAGCTGACTTCCTTCTTTGTCTCCTCTTCTGCTCAGGTAACTTTTAGTGCTACCTCAATATTCACTGTTGTTTTCTCTTCCTAATCCCTACTCCTAGAAAAAAAAGAAAAGAAAAAAAATCCTCCCCCTAACTTCTACCTACAGACTTCCACAGAAATTCAGCTGTTAGCTTCTCTTTTGCTGCTCCTATGTTTGCTGATGACTGGCTTTTAAACCTAGCCAAACGAGGTCACCACCTTTCTCTTGTTAAGAGATATCAGCAAGTACAGGGTCAAGCAATACACCTGGAACAAATTCCTAAAAATCAAGACTGCACCTCCAAAACACAAAATCACCACTCTGCTCTCAGACCAACCTCCCACAGACAAAGCAAAGATGCTTTCTCCCATCCACACTCATTGTAGTAGTGAGAATGAGAATAAGATTTAACACTTCTACTCTGGCAATTATTTCTGAAAATCACAATAAGTTAATTATACACAAATGAGTAACAGGTTTTAGGTTGAATACTAAAAATATTAAAAACTATTAATTACATACTGTAAGAGTTTTTGCACCAATAAGATCTTTTTCTATTTACAGTCTTTCTCCTATGGATCACATAATATTACAAGCAAGGAGTGTATTATCATAGGCATGATCAGTCAAGCAGTCAAAGCAAATCACTCTGTACTTGGTAAACATAACACCAAAGTTGGCTGGAAGATTTAGGTGCACATTGAAAGTCAACAGCATCTTCCAGCAGAGACAGAAATTGACTGGAGTCTGCCTGGAACTCAAAGCCTTTCTCCTCCTCCTCCTCCCTTTCTGACTTAAGGCCCTTCCCTACTTATTACTAGCTACCCGAATTGTCACATTCAGAGCTATCTGCTTTTCTTGGGAATTAATCCAAAATGGTTCGTCTCTGTGACTATGGGCTTCAAAGCAGATTTTAATGTATTATAGTTACACACTTACACTGGAGGAAATGGTATGTCTGAAAGGGAAAGTACCCCTATACAGGGAATTTATTTTGAAAAAATTCTACATATATCTCTGCAGTCATTTATTTATTATACACAGGTAATTTTAATATCTACATCTATAACTCTGTTTTGGATTCCTAAATGATGTGCAGATTGTGTCCAGGAAAGAGACAATAATTCGACTATATTTTTCAAGCACCTAACTTATTTTCATGGTCAGTTAAGTGTAGGGCAGCATGGTTAAAGTGTTTCTGCTACTAAAAATGTTGGATAGAAATCTGATTATATTTCTACAGTTTTGTTACATTTAGAAGTCAAGTAGTTTTTAGACAAAACAAGATCTTGCAGCTGAGTCTATCATTTAGTTAAGGGTACTATTAACCTCTTTTTCTGTACTTTTAGAAATCTTTAGCTGCCCTTTTAATAACCCAAAAATATTTAGTCTAGTAGTGTAAGATTTCTCATATTGGAATCCTAGACTGCACTTTTTTTATTTTTATACTAATTATAATCAATCACATTTTTAGATGGTGACAGAAAAAAACTCAGGGCAAAGTCTTCACATTTGGGTTCCAAAAGCTGGACAATGAAATCCACATTTATGCACCTACATAACTGGACTAATTTTGAGAAAGGATAAGCCAAACATCTGCACCTCACTTTGAATTTACCTCCAAAGATTGTTTAGGTGTCAGTTATTTAGGTGCCTAAATAAATATTTAAGTGTCTAATTGTTGACACCCAAGTTTTAAAATATTGACTAAAGCTAGTTATTCTGCTTCTACAATATTTCCTCCCTAGACACAAGAAGAATTTGTGACTGATAAATATGTCTCTTTTTAACATTTTAATTATAAACATGTAGAAATGCAAAACAAATCGTGCATCGAATTAATTAGCTTTACCCAGCTACAGAAGACAGCTGTCCATTCCTATCATACTAAGGTTATTAAAGTCTACCGTTGCAGTAAAAACAAAACTAAAAAAGTCTACTTCACAATGTACAGTGATTGCTACTTAAATGTCTTTCAACCTTTTATTCCTGGACAGCGGTTGGTGAAGTGTCAGCCTCACACTTTGTAAAACAGAACCTTTAAAGGGTCATGACTTTACAAGATGATGAAAACAGTTTTTCCATCATTCTAATTTAGTTATTTCATGAGGCTCTTCATTTCAGCAGCACATTGTCTTGATGAATCACCCAGGTTTTAAATTAAAAAAAAACCCAAACAAACCTTTTCAAGGTTAATGATATTCTAATAAAATAATTATCAATGCAAATTTGAAGTGTGTACAAATTTAAAACCTGATGCTTTGTGTTCTACTGGCTACTGCTTTATATTCATGAACAGGAATAAATATCACATCAGACCCATTAGCAGAATGGATCAGACATCTATACTACCTTTTTATTTGTAAACAGAATGACAATGCGCTAACATTTTGACAGTATCTTAGCAATGAAACAGGGAAAATGATGGTGGATAGTTTTACTTATAAACAAAAATAGCTTGAATAATATATTAAAGATAGTTGAGAAGTTCTGTTAAGATGTCTAATGCAATGTTTATGCCTTGACATGGGTATTTAAACCAGTTTCTTTGAAGGGGCCATTGGTATGCAGTCAGAATCCTGGTACTATATACATTAAAAAGGAAAGGATGTGTGGCCTCGATCTTTTTTTTTTGTACATTAATTTATATTCCCCATGACTAGCAATGGAATGATAATAAAAGGACATGATTCAACAGAAAATACTTCCAGCTATTGTATTGTGGAAGTCTGCTAAATGCCAATTGATTTTATATAGTTTCAGATGTATAACCTGTCAAATCAGCCACAAGAAAATATAAAAGATACCCTTGTAAATGTTACATGATGTAAACATTTTAATTGATTTTTTATGTTGTTAAATGAATGATCCAGAATGCTATGCTATTTAAGTTTTAAAAAACTGTATTATCGATAATTAACACCAGATTTGAAGAATATTCATAGGGCTTAAATATATTTGGGAATTTATGATTTTTCTGGCATGTCTTTAAAAGTTGGCTTTTACCTGTTCAATACCAACTAGTCAATCCAACAATTCACTGTGATTTAGAGCAAAATGAACAACCTAAGCACCAGTGCATTGCTCACCAATATGTTCTCCGGAAGTATGTTTTCTTATTTTACTGAGTTGAATTTGGAATATGCACCCAGATTTATATTTTGCACTGAAAATGAGTTATACATTTTTTCTGAAGTCTGAATGTACTACAACCCATTCAGTACTTTTTCAATGCAAAAATATGTGGTCACCGTGCAGTATTTGCATACAACAGATTTTTTCCTCTCTTTTTAAAAAAGGATTCAGCCTCTCTCTTTTTTTTTTAAATCAGGCTCAGAGCTGTGGGGTTTCTATTTTATTTTATTTTTTTACTCAAACTAATAAAATCAGGAGACTGTGGTGAGATCTAGCGGCATGCAGTTTGATGTCCTCAGCAGGATACCAACAGCCAGAAATGGTGCTGTAAATTCAATGTGGGGCTTCAACACTGTGCTAAGTGTGGCCCGAATCTCAGGGGCTTCCCTTTGATGCAAGTGCAGTATATTAACTGGAAAAGCATTCACTTTTATTTGTCTCTACTGTCTGCGACAGCAATATCGCCTCATTTAGACTAGTTCAACATGAAAATACACAGAGAAGCAATCTGTTACAAATTAGCATAGCTCCCCTTTCATTTTACTAGCTAGTAATTGGAAGGGGTTAAGAAAGTGTAATTTATCAGATTAAATGTGTTTATCTTTGTGTGGGGACAGCATGCCTTTGGTGAATTTTCCTGCGTACCCTGAGGGAATAATCTTTCCTTGATGCCCATTTGATCTGAAAGAAAACAATGACGCCTGTGAAATATGGGAGTATAATTTGTTCAGTTGAGAAGGAACAGTTTCCCAGACATCTGAAATAGTATTAATGACTTTATTAGAACCTTACCTTTCTTTGGAAATGTTTTTATTCTCTCGTTTCCAAATGGTCTTGAAGTCGCTGCAGAACTCATACCACACAGTGAAAACGTAGTTTGGTGTGATCTCCTTCTCACCAGACTTTGGCTTTATCCCAAAGAATCCCACTGTTTCTTCAAAGCTACAGGGGAAAAAAAACTGTCAACACGTAAAACCCATTGGGGAAGCTTAGTTTCCCTGAGGGCTGGTTCCTGACTCAGTAGCCAAGGCTGATAATTACCATAACTTCCCCTTAACTTTGGAAACCATAGCAGCAATTCATGCCAAGTGTAACTAACCTTCCAACACCTACTTTTTTCTCCTAGGAGGATAATTTTTGTGTGTGTGAATAAGACACCATTGACGTATGTCATGTACGGAAAGCAAAGGCACTCATTTTTAATAATCATAATTTATTTACCTGAATTTCAAGATAAACTTATTAACTAACATTTTTATTCTGCAAAGCTGAAAGGAGAGCTATTTTGGTGTTATTTTTCTGATTAAAGGCCAACAGGAGAGTTGTATGCCAAACCATAAATAATTATCAGCAAAAAGGAAATCAAGTGTCACATGATCTCTAGTTTAGAGACTTTCAGGTAGTGATGGAGCTCAGTGCAGCAGCACAAATGCCACAGTCAGTGCCAATAGCTAGTTTGCAAAGAGATAACACAATGAAAGTGATTCATACCTTCCCAGGGGGCTAGTAAGCTGATAAAAGCAGTAATAATAGGCTAGTTTTATTGCCAGTGTTGTAATACTTTACTATTCTATATTACAGCTAAAGCATTTTTGCAGTGTATCTGAGTATTTCTAAAAAACTCTTTTCATGTTGAACATAGTTTTGTGGTATTTTAAATTATTGTGCAATATGCATTTGAACCATTATTGTATCACATTTCATAGATAAACAGGTAATTGATTCCATGATCATGGTTATGAGATGTCCAACCTGAAATAATAGAATCTACAAATTCTTTTTGCTTTTGTTAAGGTTGAATCAGTTTTCTTTCCAAATTAAAAATATCTGTCAGGGTAGTTTTGCTGATAATGATTAAAAACAATGTCATGGCTTAACAGTAAAGGCAACATAAGAAAATCTTTCAAGAGAATTCACTTTTCTTGAAACTCCAACTACATTTGGGGAAAGGGAAGTAATGTGCTTGTTAACATCTATCAATGGTTCTTAATTCTTGAATACAGGAAGCTAAACTCTTGAAAACAAAAGGTTTTTTAAAAAATTGTACATGGTCTACAAACAATAAAATTTAAGTTCAACAAATGGCCTTCAACTCATATTTGTGCAGATATCTCATCCCATATTAGCGGATTCATTTACATAGATCCACATTATGGGATAGATTCTCAAAATTATTTAGGTGTCTAACTGACACTTTAGACACCTAAATCCCAGAATCAGGTCCCACTGGAATTCACAAATCCCTCATTCAGCTGCCACCAAATCCTGTAGGTGCCTAAACTCACAAAGCGCCTATATGTTTGTATTAAAATTTCCCTGGGCACCTATGTTTCTGTCGATGAGCATGACATACAACTCCACACCAGGTGTCCAGACACACATGTGCCAGAGTGATTTACAAACTGGGGAAAGACAGGCATTTCTCTGTCTAACTCACTTCCAGGGTCCGATCTGGGAGACAAACTCTTAGCACATTTACTGGTTTGGGCCCCTATAGGTGGGCATACACTAAACAGCCTTCCCCAACCTCAGGATTTCTTGCAGTAACAGCATAGGTACCTAACTCCAATAGAGGGTTTACAACTGAGAATCCCAAGGGCCTCCCTGAAGCTTGGATGTAGATGTTTATCTCCAAAAGAAGGATGGGGCTTAGCACTCACTCCTTGTCTTGGCATCTCCCATTGGCTAGTTTAGGTGAAGAGCTGCCTAGCATGCTGGATTTTGTCAATCTCATTCTGATGCACCTTTCTCCCTCTATTCATTGTATAGGGAGCATAGAGGCCTAATCCAGGCTTTGAGAATTAGGCATGGTGATGCTGAGTGTTGCCACACCTAAATTTTTTGTGTATCTAGCCCCATGTGTATCTAGCCCCGTATGTTTATATGGAAATTCGATGGTTAAGGTTGAGTTTTGCACTTAAAGCAGGGCTTTAAACACTTTGCTATGTATGAAGAATACAGAGTATCTTCCTCAAAATTACAGCAAAGCCAGAGCTAATACTGTAGCTGCTTTGCAAAATAAAGCAACTGGAAATTCAATTGAACTGGTCAGTATACTTTGTGCTTCTCCAGAGGGGCATTGAGTAGCAAGAGCACAGTGGTGAATATGAACAAGAGTTAAAAACTAGAAAATGATTTAAGGTTAATAATTCATATCTTCAAATCATCAGAATTATGGGGGAGGGTGGGAGTGAGGGGAAACAGAAAAACAAATAGCTGATGCATCTTTAAAAATCAGTTTAACATAATCTAATAATCTAACATAATCTAAGATTCTAAAATGCCTTAATAGAATTAAAAGTTGATAACATGGTATCACTACAGGGCAGAGTTAAGAAATTTGTTTGCCCTAACTGTGCATCTCCTGCTAGGGGAGCTGAGGCAGGAGCAAAAGAGGAACTGTTATAGGAAGGAGACAATTCCTTCTAAGGTTCCACCTTCATATAGCACCAGTTGCACTAACACCAGGGCCGGCTCTAGGCACCAGCGTCCCAAGCGTGTGCTTGGGGCGGCACTTTTCAAGAGGTGGCACTCTGGCTCGCCCCCCCTTTTTTTTTGCTTCGGCAGCAAAAAACCTGGAGCCGGCCTTGACTAAGACAGTTCCCTACCTCAGGCCACAAAGTAAATTCCCGGCCTATCCATCCACCACCACCCTCAACATTTCCACTGAATCCCCCCTCCTTCCCTTCTTCCCAATTTCATCCTCTAGCAACCTCCCTCCTACAGAGCCCTGCTCTCACCTACCTTGTGCCTTCTGCTGCCCAGTCTGCCTCCAGGCTTTTATAAATAACTATTACCCATTAAAAGTGAATAACAGATCCTTTCAACTACATCCTTTCATATCCTGGAGGATTACTTGGCACATTTTCCTACAGATTTTTAAAATAATAATAAAAAAAAACCTGTTTCCCAGATAACTAAAACCAATCAGCCAATTGCAAAGTAAGGGCCAATTTATCAGTACCTCTAGCTGCTTTGCTCTGCAGCAGAATGGTGCAAAGCAGCTAGAATGTAACTGGAAATCTCACCCTAATAGTTAAAATGATTTTTGAAATGATTTAAGGCTGATATTGCATAGATTCAAATCATTACAAATATCACATGGTAGGATATTCTTTGTTTACTGTTCATGTATGACATTTTGAATAGGTTAAAAAATGCAAAGAAATTCTGAAACAAGAAACTGTTAAAATGGAATTAAGGTTGAAAATCCATAACAGTAATTTGTGATAAAATATATCACAGGTAAACAACTTAAACACCCAGGACTCTGCCGTGTCATATATAACTAGCAATAAATCAGTACAAATAAAATTAGACTGTATAAAATTTATTATCTTAATTTTATACTTTGAAATTTTAAAGACCCTGAGCCAGACCTTTAGCTGGGGTGTACTGACATATCTCCATTGTCTTCATCAGAGCTATGCTCATTCACGCAAGCTGAGTATCTGGACCTGTTTTCTTTTTCAAGCACTATTGGTAATGGGGAATTACTATCTCTTTGCTAATTTAAATCATCTTCAATCTCCATTCTTAATATTAGGATATTGAAAAGAATAATTAACAGCTACAGATGGGAATACTTTAGTCAATACCCATCCATCATTTTTAACTCAGAGCAGCAAGGCTTTTATTTTAGAGCTACCCAGATACAACAATTTTAACAGCGAATGATTTGCTAGCGAGTATAAACACCAGAAGTAGATTTGACTGCATTCTAAGAAGGAAAACAGAAAATTCTTGTGTGTAAAATTTCAGTTAGTCATGAGAGAAAAAGAAAAAGAAACACAGTAACTTTGAACAGATTTAGATGAAAGCATTTTCAAATGCTACATTTTCCAATACTGCATATCAAATATACATCTCAAGCCTGCAAGATGAGCATATAAAACAATGCACACACACGGAGGCCACAATAAAGATGAATATGCTATTTCTCATCAGGACAAAATTTAGGCTGACAAATCTACATTTGTCTTTCAGATGATATGTTAAGACAAGCTCCTAACCTCATTTAGACATTGAAGATCTGGCTGCACTTTCCCAAAGAGATAATTCTAGGCTTGGGAGTGAGACAAGAAGCATTGCAATATACTTGTGCTTTGCTGTTTGTTTGTAATAATGGTCTTGCACATACAATTTTTGGCTAATATCGTATATACTCGTTCATTATCCCGTTCGTTTATAAGCCGACCCCCCAAGATGGATAGGTAAAAATGGCAAAAACTGTAGGACCCTTTCATAAGTCGACCCTATATTTCAGGGGCTGGCAAACTTTGGCTCCCAGACCGTCAGGGTAAACCGTTGGCACGTCGGGACGTTTTGTTTACCTGGAGTGTCTGCAGGCACGGAGCCCCTCAGCTCCCAGTGGCTGCGGGTTGCCATTCCCAGCCAATGGGAGCTGCGGGAAGAGGTGTGGGCCGAGGGACGTGCTGGCTGCCACTTCCTGCAGCTCCCATTGGCTGGGAACGGTGAATTGTGGCCAGTGGGAACTGCGGGGCTCTGTGCCTGCGAACGCTCCAGATAAACAAAACGTCCTGGCCCACCAGTAGCTTACCCTGATGGGCCGGGAGCCAAAGTTTGCCGACCCCTGATCTATAATGACAATGTATTAGATATTCAATTCAATAATTCAATAAAGCTTAAAATTGTCAACTTTTGGTGTAGACCCATTGATAAGCCAATTCCCGCTCTTTGATGCTTCACTTTTTTACCAAAAAATTTGGCTTATGAACGAGTATCTACGGTACTTTTTCCAGATTAGAGATGTCATGTCTGATGTTGTGTATTACTTGGGTTTTTTATGTGTGCCCTTCAAAACGTCTGAAGAAAAGTAAATATTTTATCCTGTGTAAACTCTATTCTCCTAAACAAGTTAGAGCTTATTGAATCTTATTTGAATATTGCAAAATCCCCTCAAAGAACATGACAAGCCAAAACTGTAGTTTTTACAGATAAGAATAAATCTAACATTTTTCATGTACAAGAGCCAGACAATGTCTTCACCACAAAGCTACTAAAATTTGCCTCATTCAGCTCATTAACGAGTAGCTGTATAGCTAGCATACAGCAACATGAAAGGTAGAAGCTTCACATGAACAAAACTTAACAAGTAATACAATCTGTAATCTATTTTGAAACTATCAACTTCACTGACTTTTCCTCCCTATGCCTGCCTCCCCTTATCAAAATATGACATAGATAAATGCTCTTACATTAAACATTTTTAAATTTCACAAGCTTCTAGTATGGTCTATTTTGCAATCTATATGATGAATGAGTAAAATGGCACCTCAATACATTTTCACTGAATAAAGCAGTGAATTATTTATTAAATTATTCTGAGAGACCAAGATTCAACTCACCGATGAAAAAAAAATTAAAACTGCATATTCAGTAGATTATTTGGTTCAAATCACTTATTTCACATCCTATTCCGCAACATGACATAAGAAAGTATGACACTGAGTACTGTTTTGAACTATAGTAGCCTTTCCTATTTAATTTCTGTTGAATTCCTAGGATCAATAACATATTTCATTTTGGTCAATTATCTGTTTGAAAGGACTGGAGAACTTACCCTTTTTGTGCATTTTCCAAAGAGCTCTCTTCTGTCTTATGTTCTTCTTTAGCTGCAAATGGAAAAATATTGATATTTTAAATAAGGGTCTGAGTATTGTACTTTGTTTTAAATTATTCTTTATAGTACACATTTTTTTATGTTCAGGTTTGATGGCTTGCATATTACAGATAACAATAAACATTTCATTATTTTTCAGCCATGGCCCATATTTTTAATAAGTGACTTTTTCAGTAGGGAATACTCAGATTTTGAAAGTAATGTTTAAAATAGTTAGTGCACCATATTTAAAGCTTAGATTATGTCACAGAGGTTGCAGAAGTCACAGAATCCGTGACTTCCAGCGACCTCCGTGATATTGGGGACCCCACAGCAGCCCAGCATCCGTGGGCGGCAGAAGGACCCCAGAGCTGCTCAGTGGCCGGAGGCCCCCGGAGCTCCCCAGACTCCACCGCTGGCAGAGCCCCCCCCCAGCAGCTCCCAGCTCTGCAGGGTAGTGGGGGACCTCTCCCAGCCCTCCCAGCCACTGCAGCTCCCAGCCACTGTGGAGGCGGTGAGCGGGAGGGTGCAGCAGGGTGTTTCCATGACTTTTTGTTTATTGCCCGTGACTTGTCCATGACTTTTACTAAAAATATCCATGACAAAATCATAGCCTTAGCCATTTTATATTGCAACTTCTTCCCATGTAATGCAAATTACTATTTTTATTTCCATTTTAAAAATAACTCATTTATCTAAGTTTCCTCTATTATTGGAGACTAAAACCTGTAAGATTAATGCTACGTCTACATTGCACACCTTATAACAGCACAGCTGTGCCGCTGCAGCTGTGCTGTTGTAAGGTGCACTGTGGAGCCACTCTTTGTCACCAGGAGAGAGCTCTCCCAGTGAGAAAATAAAACCACCCCCAATGAGGGGCAGCAACTTCATCGCTGGGACAGCATCTCCCACTGACGAAGAGCTGTCCACACTGGCTCTTTTCGTTGGTAAAACTTTTGTCATTCGGGGTGTGTGTTTGTTTCACACCCCCGAACAACAAAAGTTTTAACGATGAAAGTGCTATGTAGATATACCCTTAATCTGTTCTTACATGACGTACCATTGGCTGTTGCTGAATAGACACTAAAGAGTAGTTAATAACTTCATCCATTTCACACTAATATTACAGTCTGTTCAGGAAGCTGGCAAAGTGGAAATATATGTCCCCAAATTATAATGTACAGTGTATACTTGCTTTTTAAAAACCATGGCCAAGATTTTTAAAAGCGACAAGTGATTTTGGATGCTTCAGTTGCTGAATACTCATTTGAGACACTAAAAGTAGCCTGATGTTCAGAAGTGGAGGCTTTGCACTTTCTGAAAAGGTTTCTCAAATTCTAAAATGGAGGCACCCCGGATCAACCACTTTTCAAAATCTTGGCCACTTCGTCTACGTTCAATGTACAGCGGAACCCACTTATATTTAATTTGGATAGAGCAAAATTCCACCTACAGGGTACATCTGCACTAGAAAAAATTGTACTCTTATACCAGCGATAGTGCAGCTTCACTGGTGTAAGTGCTAGTGTTAACAGGACTCAGAAGTTTTAATGACACAGAGATAAAGAACTCTGTCTTGATCCTGTACAAAGAGACCTCACTATAGTAGAGCTACATTAGAGCTCCTGCATCACTGACAACTGTTGATAAAATATGGTTATAGATTTTTTTTAAGTGTAGACAAAGCCATAGTGAAGCGGACTAAAAGTCCTGAATTACTTCTTTGCATTACAATGAATTTTGACTTTTCTTAGGCCATGTCCACACATAAACTTGCAACCATTTAACTAAAGGTTTGTTTTTAAACCAATGTAATTAAACAGATAAAATGCCTTGTGTGAACACTCTGATTTAGGGTTGAGATGACTGGTATGTATCAATTTAGCTTAAATGGATTCTTTACCAGTTCAGATAAACTGAAATAAGCCACTTTTAAATGAAAATAAGAGTGTCCACAAAGGATTTTGCACCAATTTTAAATTTTAAACCAATTTAAGTTAGCCCAGTGCAACGCTCTTATGTAGACAAACTGTCTACACACATACTGGAACTGAAGTAACTAAAAAGGCTATTGTCTACACAAGAAAGTTGCACTGGTTTAATTTAAAGCTATGCCTATACTACTAGCACTGTTGAAGCATAGCCATGGGGCTGTAGCTATGGGTAGGACTACACTTAAAAGACTGCATTGGCACAGCTGCACCAATGCAGTTGTGCTACTGTAGTGCTTAAGTGAAGATGCTCCTACACCGATGGGAGAGCTTTTCCCATTGGCATAGTTAATCCACCTCCCAGGGAGGCAGAAGCTATATCAACGGGAGAGGCTCTCCTGTTGATATAGTGCTGTCTACATGGGGTGGTTAGGTTGGTCTAACTACATTGCTCAGGAGTGTGGATTTTTCACACCCCTGAGTGATGTAGTTGCACAGCCATAGGTGTGTAGTGTAGACCTGGCTTATGTCACTGTAAATGCATAGAGTAGACACAGAATGTGTCAGTGGAAGGAATTGTTCAATCACTGTAGGAACGCCATCTCCCCAAGTGATGGTAGCTAGGTTGAAATAAGCATTCTTTTGTAGACCTAGCTGTTCTATATCAGGCATTAGGTCGCCATAGTTACGGCACTCAGGGGTTTGGATAAATTCTAAATATAGACCAGACCTAAAATATGATTTTAAGCCAATTTAGTTTAACAGGTGCAAAAAACATTGTGAATGCTTATATTTTGGTTTCAACTAGGATTACGTAGATTTGATATACTTGCTTATATTCAGTTTGATTTAAGATAAACCAAACTAAACCATTCTTAAACTAAAATAAAGATATCTACACAGGGGTTTGCATCCATTTAACTAAACCATTTAAAAACTGACAATGTAAACTAGTGGATTGCTGCATACAGAGAAGGTGAAAACTGGTTTTAATTCACAGCTTTAGTTATTCTTCTGCAAGTCTGTGTGTAGACATTCTTATTTCAGCTTAAATGTGTCCCATTTGGATTTAAGTTGATTTTAACTATTTAAATTAAATCAAAATAAAACACTCTTAATCTTGAAATATTTGTCCACATAAACATACATAGGTTTGAATTAAAACTGATTAATGGGGGCTTGTCTACAAAAGAAAGTTAGATTGGTTTAATTTAAATTGGCTTTTAAACCAATGTTGTTAATACAGTTTGTCACAGGATGGCTGGCCCCAGTACAAGCAATAGGACCAGCACCTCGGTGCTAGAGCAGATGCCCCCATTTGGCCAACTAAGAGGGTGGGGCAGCACCTGGGGGACATAAAAGATCAGAGTGTCCTGGAGAGAATCAGTCAGGAAACTGACATAGGTCTTTGTGGGGAAGTTGTGGAGAGGGGAAAGCTTGCTGGAGGCCCTCCCTGGGAAGAGGGAGGAATTGTATAGGAGACCGTATGTTTGGGACCTGGGAGAAGGCTCAAGTTCAGGAGAGCAGCAGGAGGGGTTTGCTGGCTGGCATCCCAAAGCCAGAGCAGGGCTGAAGGGACATCAGAGGAGAATTGCCTGCTTGTTCTAAGCTGGAGAACCAGAGCCAAGGGCCAGAGAGGGCTGAAGGCAGGAGAACAGTGAAGGGGCTTACCCCTGACATCTACAGAGCCAGCCAGCTGGACCCAAACTGTGAGAGGCCAAGGAGAGTGAGGGATGCTCCAGTGGTTAGAATGCTCCCAGCAGAGAAGCTGTGGGGGTTGCCACTAGGAAAAACGAGGTTGCACTCCAGTGGTTGCATTCCAGGGAGGTTGACATTCAAAGTACCTGGCTTACTGGCTGGGAAAACCTCTCTGGCTGGGACAGAGATGCTGAGATTGTATGTTGTATGTACTGTTGGACTATGCTGGAGGAAATCTAGATTATGGTTGTGGGACTCTTCTGATTTATGTGTATGGAACTTTTGTAATAAATTCACAGGTGCTGACTTTCCAAAGTGCTGGGAGTTGCTAGACCCCCCAGCCCCACGCGAGGCCCTGCCCCACTCTACCCCTTCCCCCAATACCCCACCCGCACTCTGCCTCTTCCCACTCCCCACTCCACCCCCACCTGACCTCTTCCCATCCAGTTCCGCCCTTGAGCGCGCCGCATCCTCGCTCCTCCCCAGTCTCCTGCACACTGCGAAACCACTGTTTGTGGTGGGCAGGAGGCACGGGGAGGGAGGGAGGGGAAGGCGCTGATCCGCAGGGCCCACTGGCGGGCAGGATGTACTGTGGGGGGGCTGCTGGTGGGTGCTCAGCACCCACCATTTTTCCCCCTGTGGGTGCTCCAGCCCTGGAGCACTCATGGAGTCGGCCCCTATGAATAAATTAACCCCACAAGGGCCATATTTATACTTGGGAAGACTGTGGATTATTTCATGGGGCTGTAAAGGAGAGAAACCAAGGCAGGCGAGCCTGCTGTGCTGTAGGAGACCGCTCCAGGCAGGCTGCCTTATGACAGTGCAAAAAGCTGTGTGGATAGATATTCTGGTTTAGACTAGACTTATTTTACGTTGGTTTAAGTCAATTAGGAACTGGTTTCCATGCAATCGACATAAGCCATGCAATCTGTGAGTGTTCACAGAGCCTTCTGCACTAAGTTAACTAAACTAGATAGAAAAACCCCTGAAAGTGCATGCAGACAAGCTCTTAGTTCCCTCAATCTAGGTTGTCTCATGGTACTCCTCTTGAAATGCAGCTATTGTCACCCTTGACATAGGTGTCAAGTGTTACATTTCAAGTGAATTATCATTTCCTTGTTTGTTCAGGGTGAACAAAAAAGAGTAAAAAAAATTGCTATTATCCCATGAGCAGAGGAATGCAATAGTACCTGGCTTCTGACCATACACTAATAAATAGATGGTAGCTAATAAAGAGTGATAAAGCTGTAAAACTGGACTTAGGCTATGTGTACACTAGAGACCTTACAGCAGCACAGCTGTACCGATACAGCTGTGCTGCTGTAAGGTCTCCTGTATAGCTGCTCTATGCTGACAGGAGAAAGCTCTTCCGTTGGCATCATTA